AGCGGATGGATGCTATACAGACGTAATGGAAGTGGGTCTCATCAGAGCGGCAGTGCGCGGATGGACGCACGAGGTTAGCGTAAAGACAACTCTTCACAGACAGACTTCGAGCTGGGCGACCTCAGCCACAACGCGACCCTATCTATACGGCAGCCAAGAAGAAGACCAAGGAAGAGCGACAGGGAATTATCAAGAACAGTAAGATGGAGACGTCATCAGCTACTAAGGCGAGATCACTACTCATGCAGTTGGCGGTCTTTGCGACGTGGTGTTGGAAGCTGGCGGAAACTTTCGCTCCAGAGTTCGACTACCGCACAGAGTACAAGTACGACTATGATGAGTGTGCGAAGTGTTCGTGGCTTCCTGGAGGCATCTGGAATGCATTAATGTTTACTATGGTTGGAATCCCAGTGGCAGTTCCAGCAGCCTACTATGCACTGCGAGAGTTCATGGAGCATCGAGACGACTCCACCGTGAAGTACCAGACTGAGACATTCAATAAGCATGAGACGACCGAGGAGACAGCGACGACCAGCACCGACAAGGAGACGACCATCCACCTCAAGAAGACGAGCAGCAACCACAAGCAAGTGCGACGGCGGACGGTCGGCGAACAGAGCATGGTCACCCACCGGCTGCGGGGGGATCAGCGGCGATTCTGCCACAAGATGAATGGATTCAAGCGGGTGGGCGAAGTTGCAGTGGAGACGACCGAACCCAATCAGTGGCAGGGCGGCTACGATCGGACAGCAGACGGCAGCCCCAAGGGCTGCGGTGAGTGAGCCACTGCACCAGCGCAGCTCCAGTTTTTCGTACGCTCAGGCAGTTATTTGTTATTGCTAGTTGTGCATTCCATATTCAGTTTGCAGACGCAGGTTTGCATTTCATATTTACGCAGGTGTGCATGCCATATTTATCTTGCAAGCGCAAGCTTGCGTTTCATGCATGCAGTTTGTTCATGCCTGTGTGTTTATGCAGTCTCCGGCAGCTTGCGCAGAATATGTTTAACTTGTGGAGTCCCGAATGTCAAATCTCATCGTGAAGAGAGAGAGAGAGAGATGGAGAGAGAGAGAGAGAGAGAGACAGAGAGAGATATTCCCTTTGTTCTAGTTTGTTATTCTTCACGGGTGTGAGGTTCACGCTGTATTTCAGAGTATTTTGCAGATTGTGCAGAACACGACAGTAGCATAGCGAGCGTCCAATTGCACTTTGGCCCAAACTTTTGCAGGGCCCATGGGTCAGCGCAGCAGCGGCATGGACAACATATCAGATGTGCTTCTGGTTTATTATTCTCATTGCCATTAAAGACTTCGGGGGCTTTGATCAGTTTTTTTTTTTTTTTTTTTTTTTTTTTTTTTTTTTTTTTCAACCGCCCTGATGAGGGTGGAGCTTCCGAGGGTCGGGTGCTTGAGGGTCGAGTTTCTGAGCTCGGGTTTGTCGTGGGAGCGTTGAGGCATGTGTAGTAGTAGTCTTCTTGGTCGTAGCCGTTGTCGATTCTCGTATATGTCGCCGCCGTTGTTGCGCAGCGGGTGCCGCGAAACAAACAACACTAGTTACCGTGTTTTTCTGTGGGTCTCCAGACCGCAAATAAGGCCGCCGTAAATTCATTAGTTCTCCCCTTATTGAATCGCTTCGCTGAAAACGCCGGCCCGTGGGGGCCTCTTGGGGCCTCCAAGAGGTCTCTTGGGGGCCTCGTAGAGCCTCTGGGGGGCCTCTTGGGGGCGTCTTGGGGGCCTCATGATGGCTGTTGGGGGCTTCTTGGGGCCTCTTAAGGGCCTCTTGGGGTTTCCTGGAGACCTCTCAGGACCGAGAGTTCGAAATGTTGTTTCGTGCTCCCCCATCTGGGGGGCTTTTGTGGCGTTCTAGGGGGCCTCTTGGGCCGTCTTGGAGGCCTCTTGGGCCGTCTTGGGGCCCTCATAGGCCGTCTCGGGGCCCTCTTGGGGGCCTCTTGGGGCGATCTTGGGGCGATTGTGGGGGCCTCTTGGGAGCCTCTTCGGCCGTCTTGAGGCGTCGGGAAGCAGAAAAAATGGATGCACCAGAATTTTTCCAAAACCTAGGGGGGAGAACTGATTTTTGCATCTTGCCCTCTTGAGAGTGCTCTTGGAGGCCTCTTGGGGCGTCTGGGGGTCATCTTGGGCGTCTTAGAGCGATATTGTGGCATCTTCGAGCCTTCTTGTATCATCTTGGGGGCCTCTTGGAGGCCTCTTGACCCTTATTGGCGCTCTCTGGAGGGTCTCGAGGGCGGCGCCCAGAGGGAACGCCATCTCTGACCCGACCTTGCCGGGGTACGTTTCCCCTGGGGACCCCCAGGGCCCCCCTCCCCCCGCGCGAAGTAGAAATACTCTAAAGCAGTTGTCGGAGATCTTAGCACGCCTCTGGCTCGTTGGGCCGGCGAATTGAAGGGGTTCTAAAGATTTATCACTATTAGATGTAGGCCATCTGTTGCCAAGCACTGCCAAATACTGGGAAGCAACCTCGCGCACGTCGCATCCACCAGAGGCTCCACCGCACAAGGCGGAGCTTCGCAGGCAAAGCTTGATTGGGGCAACAGGGGAAGCATTCTCGTTGAACCATCGTGGCGCAATGGCAATAACTATGTCAAGCAATGCATGACGTAACGCAATACGTCGCAGAGCAAAGCAATTCAATGCAACGTTCGGCACTGTAATGCGAATGCAATTGTTTTGGCAGTATTTCGCGTTAGTTGGCGCTGCTTGCAACCAGGCAGCCCGAGTAACCCAGCAACCTTGGGAAACCCCGAGGAATCGTGGTCAACGGGGCAGTCCGAGGAATCCCGAACGCCGTCTGACTAGCTCAACCTTGCTAACACCTGCTCATTTTAGTTTCTTCTCCAACAAATAGGGTGGGCAGATTGTGGAACGACGTTGATACTACCGTTTGTCTGGATGCCACGATAAGGAATATATTCAAAGTGCTAGGGCACGAACACGAATGTGAACAATGCGAGCGATCAAAACAAGGCACAAGGGACGGAACATCGTAGTATCAAGTAGTTCGACGCATGAAAATATGATGGGTACGATTTCTGTAATAGTTCGAACAATTTCAGTAAAGCGTTAACGATTATCCTGTGCCGTTGTCGCGCAATGCCGCCACCGCGTTGGGGCGGGCGGGGGGGGCGCCTTGGGGAAATGGGGGAAAGGTTGGAGGGGCCACAAGACCCCCCTGTTCCAAAATCTTGTATTTGGAACCGTGTGATGGCTGGAAGGCTAACAACGCAAGGACTTGGCCACAACAATGAACGAACGCATCTTGGGCTCGATGCGTCGGAGAGCCGTACATACCATTTCGCAGGGGGGCGGAAGGACCCGACGCACAGCAACCGATGGAAGCGCGGCGGTGGGTTTTGCGTGACATAGGTAACCATGATGCGATTGACGAGACGATTGAAGAAACGAGTGCTGAAATTACGCGCAAAAAGGTATACTACTAATGAGCGTAAACGGTATCGAAGCGCCTACGGCGAATCACCGCGGCCTTCTGCCGTCTAGGATACACCTGTGTCGAAACGTTTGAGTATATTTTGGTCACGCCATTGCAGCATGCGTTGCACGAGCCGCTTTGGAATCCCTTCGGGGAACACGTGGGGGAGGAAAGGGAGCATGAGGAGAGGCAGGGGTGAGGAGGAGGAGAAGGATGAGGAGACATAGTGTGAGCTCCTTGGGCAATTTTTCAGTCCTCCTGGGAGCTTCCTGGGGACATCTTGGAGGCATGTTGGGGGCCTCCTTAGGCCTCTTGGGGGCCTTTGGGTGCTTCTTGGGGGTCTTGTTGGCCGTCTTACGACGTTCCTGGTCCGTCTGACGCCGTCGGAAGCCGTCTTGGGAGCCTCCTTGGGCCGTCTTGGGGCCCTCTTGGGGCGCTTCTGGGCCGTCTTGAAGATCATCTTGGGCGTCTTGGACACCTCTTGGGCCGTGTTGGATCCCTTTGGGGACCTTCTTGGGAGTCTCCCCGGCCGTCTTGGGGTCATCGTGGAGTCCTCTTGGGTGCATCTTGGGCCGTCTTGGACCGACGGGAGGCCGTCTTGAAGCAAATGCCAAAACCGTTCAAACATTTCGGCGAACTGAATGACGTTGACATCTTCGGGCCTTCCTGGAGGACCTCTTGGATGCCAATTGGGCCATCGTCGGGGCCTTTGGGCGCTTGGGGGCCGTCTTGGGCTATCTTGGACCATCTTGGCAATATTGTAAGCATCTTGGGACCGTCTTGGAGGCGATCTTGGGGTTATCTTGGGCTCTCCTGGGGCCGTCCTGGCCATCTTGGAGGCATCTTGGCCGTCAAAGAGGCCATCTTGGGGCCATCTTGAGTGGCAAGACCGACAAGATTTGCACCCCGGCACAATCGACCGAAGCTCCAGGGAGCTTTAAAGAGAACCAAACACCATTGGAAATTCAGCGCGGTATGCCAACGGGGCGGCGGATCTAATTGCACACGGCCTACCCGCCGCCGTGCTTGGGTTGTGGGTCAGCGTTCTCACGGATGCGCCTTGGGGTCTCTTCAGAGCGTGTTCGGAGATTTCTTAGGAACAGTTTGAGGGCCTCTACAAATTCCTTGGGGACCTCTTGGGGCTTCCTGGGGGCCTCGTGGGGGCCTCTTGGGGGCTCTTGGAGGCCTCTCGGGGCCGAGGGCTCGAGATGTCCTTTCGGGTCCCCCGTCTGGGCCCGCTCCAAGTCTTGGGAGAACCCTGAATTCAGGGGACGGGACTACAACAAGGGACCTGGCGACACGCCCATTCCGTGCCCGATGGCACGGTGATGGATACAGATGGTAAAGTATAAATATCACGACGAATATGAGTCATAGTATCATCGTAAATATAATACCCGTGCGGTGAATCGTAAGAGCAAGTTAGCAAGAGCAAGTCGCAATACTACTCGTAATGAATATTATGAACGATGGTAGTATCACAATTCGTATCGGCATCGCGAATACTAAGAATTACAGTCGTACTGCTGGTCCGCCGCCGCCGTTTGGCATGCTGTAGGTGCGTTGTGAGCAGCTCCCTCCCCCCCCCCGCCGGTGGGCCCGACAACGGCGGCACTCCCGCCCCTCGGGACCGCCGCCGCCCGCGCCGCGCCTTGCCTGCGCCGCGCCGCCCGCTAGCGGCCTCTGGCCCCTCCAGCTCCCCAGATCTCCAACGCTGTGATGTTCGCGTCTCTGTCGTTTCTAATGTCGATCTCGGCCCTCCGGAGCGGGTGGTCGGGCCCCGCGATGTTCGAGCGTGCACCCGGGGCGAGCAGTTAGTTCTCCCGCAGAGAGAGGGTCGAGGTTTCTGGGGCCGCGCGCTGAGCAAACACACACACACACACACGCACGCACACGCGCACACACACAGACACACACACACACACACACGCACACACGCACACACGCACACACAGACACACACACACACACACGCACACGCACACACACACACACATCTTCCGACGTTGGGATCGCCCCTGCACCCTCAGGAGCAAAGACACAAAGGGAGTGGCCTGGCCCAGGGGGGGTGGCATCGACCTACAATCGCCCATGCATCGCCACCCTCCCCCCCCCAGGAACCCGTGGTTTCGCCATCGAGGGCCTGTCGCTGTTGCATCGTCGATGTGTCGTCAGGTTCCGGGTCGTCTTCTCCCCCCGTGAGCAGCCAGCCCCCCCCCCCGCTCTTGCGACGCGCCCGCTTCTTGGAGCTTGGAGCCAGACCTATGTAAGCGTTGCGACATTCTTGCAGGCAGAGCGTCGGCTGCGAGAACCGAGGACCTCGGACCCCCCGCAGTGGCGCGAGACCGTCTCGCCGAGACGGCCCGTGTTTCGCGGTCTGTGCCGGAGAATGTTTCTTTTCAGGGGGGGTGCGCGAGAGCGTGGAGGTACGCGTGCCTCCTGCGGCGCGATGCGCGGAGCCTGACAAGAGACACAGGCCTCTTAACAAACATAGCGAACATTCATGCCACATTCCTCGGTCAACGACCCCCCCCTCCCCACAAATGTTCAAGGTTGGCGGTGGACCTGCTGAGTTGCACTTCGACAGCAGTGTCTCCTCCGCGCGTGCAAACTTTGAATTTGGGGGAAAGGGGGAGTCTCCATTCATTGTTGCCCTCCATCGTAGCACGGGAGAACGGGCTGAGGCTTGCAGTCACTTCAGGCGCTCGACCGCTGAGCGCTGGTGGTGGCGGAGTCGCCAGCCCGTCAGATGTCGCAAGGCTCTCCACCTCACCCTCTCACCTTCTCGGTGCCGCCCCGCTAAGTACAGGTCCGCTGAGCACCCGTGCTGACGAACGAAGAACGCACACCCATACCTACAGGGGGGTCGGAGAGGGCTATGGGTGCGTGTTGTCGGATTGGGGTCCCGCTCGAACGGGAGCTTCACCCAGGGTCCGACAACCCGCACCATACTCATAGCCAGTCCTCACAACGACCCTCCTATTGGTATGGGTTTGTGTTGTTCGTTTGTCACGTGCACCTGTTCTCTCCTCCCTCGCCCGTTCGTCTTCCTGGACGTCCAGCTCCAGCTGCCTCCTCCTCCCCCTCCTCCTGCCACTCCTCCACGACCGCCCTCCTCGAAGTCTGGCTGTCCCTCGTCCCCCTCCTTGCCATCGTCTTATCCTCCCCTCGTCCTTCCCCCGCCTTCCCCCCCCCCCCTTCTCGGCCATCCCTCCTCGCTGTCTTCCTCGACCTCCAGCTGCCGCCCTCTGTGTCGTGCGCCTGCCGGAACTTCAAGCTTTCGCAGGTCACCCAGACCGCGCCGTCGACACCTCTGGAGGTGACTAGGCGAGGAGCCGCCTATAGGACGGGGAGAGAAAGAGAGAGAGAGGGAGAAGTAAACAGAGATAGAGAGACACAACAAAGAAATAACTATACCAACGCTCATACGAATAATGATATGACGACGAAGATGACTAATAATAATACTAATCGTAATAATAATAATAATAACTCATCGAACAGGCGAGCTTTCAGGTACTACGAGAAGGAGTCGCCTATAATGAAACTTCACCTGAATTCATGGAGCTACTCCCTCGGATTTTCTGATGCACCCCAAAGGGGGTCGACTGCGAATCGTTCGCGCTGGTATGATTTAGTGCCACCCACGATCCTGAGATCCGAATGTCCTTATAGGGCCCTGGAGGACCTGGAGGCGTCGGAGTGCCGAACAAAAACTATGTGAAATGAACAAACTCAACGAGGCCCTAAACCTCCCTCAGGGTGAAACTCCGCATGCTCGCACTCCCTACTGCGGTCGCAGGCGATTTCTCGCCCCCAATCCCCGAGTCCCCCCCCCTCAATAAGTTGGCTGCTCAGAAGATGAGACGGGGAACTCGGAAATAGACTTTGTGAGCTACTCGGACGCACCCCTGTCGAGGCTGGGTGCCTCCCATCGCACTCCCCGAGTTGGGGCCCCATGCTTTGTCCGGTCGCGAACTCCACAAAACCAGGATCGGAGTCGCGATACCCCAGTGAAGATTCATGGTGGTACGACCCGCCGCGCTTCTCGGCTCTGCCCGTCGACCCCCGAGGATCGAGGAGGGCGTCTCCTGAGCGGTGCCAGCCGACTGCTGCGCGCTTCTGTTCTCGCTGGGTGGGAAAAATCGGCCCGAAGGGGTCGGTGCATATATATATATATATATATATATATATATACATATACATATATATATGTGTATATGTATATATAAATATACATATACATATATATATATAGAGAGAGAGAGAGAGGGAGACAGAGACAGAGAGAGAGAGAGAGAGGTGCGCCTCCAGCTGGGGGCCTCCGGGCCCCGCGTGCCTCCCCAGGACGTGCGGGGGTGAGCCCGGAGCCGGTCCAGAGCGCTGCGGAACGCTCTCGGAGGGCGCTCCGGGACGGCCGCGGCGCCCGATCCACCTGTGCAGGCCAAGAGAGTTCCGCCGGCTTCTGACGTGCGGGGGGCCATCCGCACGTCTCCCGTCCTCCTCGCCCCTCCCTTCTCCCGTCTCGCGCCTGCCCCGCGCCGCCCCCCCTGCCTGGTGGCTCGGCCTGCCGTCCTCTCCGCGGGGGATGTGCTTCCTGTGCCCCCCTCGCCCTTCTCTTCTCATGTCGTCGTCCTCCCTTCTCTCGGCGGCGAGCGAGGGGGGGAATTGGGAAGGAGAAGGCCTTCTCAGAAGGCGGCGGGACTTCTCAGAAGCCCTCGGGGTCTCAGAGAGTTCCGATGCATGCCCATTCGAAGGTGTTCCCATCTGGCCTTCTTCGTAGTCCGGGCCCCAGGCTGCACTCGTTGTTGCGCGGGGGTTGCATCTTGGAAGAGCCTCCACCCTAGACCTACTGCATGGGTTTGGGAGGCCGCCGTGGCGAGAAGAGCGCTCTTGGGGAGGGATCCAGAGGGGCTGGGTTCATGGGGGGAGCGGGCTGGGGTAGGAGGAGGGGGATGAAGGTGCATGCAGAGATGGGAGATGGAATCGGTTGGCTTGATGCAGGCTGCCGAATCCTCCAGGGACGTCCAGGGGACAGGATCCCAGGCAGGCCTCGATCTTGCGTGAAGATCTCGCATTTCGGAGGAGCCCCCCCCCCGGATCTTCTTCAGGAAGTTGGGGGGGGACAGTCGTGGCAAGAAGGCCGCTATAGTTCGCTCTTCTAGGCCTTCGGGAGGCTTCTCGTCGCAGCGGCGGGGTCCGCCGCGACAGACGCGTCTGGCTGGACCTCGGGAGGGGTGCGGGGACGAGTTTCTGCGTGGATCGACCTCCAGGATTTTCCCCGCCCCCTCCCCCCCCCCAACTTTTTAGACATTTGTCTCGCATCGCACGTGGTCCAGACACGACAGATGTCTGAGGCCAAGAGGCCTTGCTCACCTGGTCTTAGCCAGGCCCGGACGATGTCCGCAGCGGTGGCCCTTTCGTATCGAGAGGAGGAGCATGCAGAGGAGGAAGCGGTTGGCGTGGTGCAGACTGCCAGATCGTGGGGCGGCGGAGGCATCGAGGAGGCGTTCGCCTGGCATCCGCCGCGCAGCCTTTCAGCGCATAGGCAACACTGATGGTAAGGATGAGCGATTTTCCAAGGTCACCCTTGCATCCGTGCCTCCTCGGTCCATCCTTGACCACTTTCGATGGCCCGCCGCGCTCGAGAAGCTTCAGCCTTGGCGTCCAAAGGGCTTGCCTCCTCACCACGCAACCTTAAATCAGTTTTGACTGGCTAATCAACTGCCCAGGACGCATGCGCCATGAACAAGCGGGTCTGGTACCAGGAGCACGTGGCGCATTCAGGCGACCCGCCCTCGGCCAGGACTCTTCCACTCTCCTCCCCCTCTTCTAATAATCCCGCTTCCTCCTCATCCCCTCTGTTGTTCTCCAGGCGGACCTGGTTTACCGCCCGAATACCCTGGTGCCCTGGTGGTTACGCCCGATTCTCAAGATGGAGGTTCCTGTTTCTTTTGTCAGAGAGGGGGCGATGGCCAAAGCCACGCATGGACGGCTTCCCATTCGAAGCAGATTTCATCGGATTGGTCATAGCCATCGAGCACGGGCGCGCTCAGCTCAGGGTCGGCGCAGTCGTGCGAGGCTGACGCCGAGGCTGATAATGGTACTGCCCGAGCGGGCCGGTGGCGATCTCTGGGAGCGGGTACCGTTTCTCGTGAAGGGATCGTTCCTAGGGGAGAGCGAGTTGCAGGTGGTCAAAGACCGGGACTACAGCCCCTGGCCTGTCTATTCTGTCCTCCCCGTCCTCGTCCTCTTCCTCCCCCGCCTCTCCTCCCTCTCCCTGCCGCTGCCCCTCAGGAGAACGAGTTGTCACAATTTCTCTACCGCCAGTTGATTCGCTTTTTTCGGATATGTCCTTGCTCTCTTGTGCCCTGGTTTGGACATGCGTCTCCAGCCGGCGGCATTTCTTCAGCCGACGCGTTGTGCAGCCACGGCGTTTTTGATTGGTGTGATGATGTTTGTGGTCTTGTACAGGTGAGCGACGGAAGAAAACGGGAACGTCTGCGCCGACATTCGCGCGTAAGTTGCCCGCGTAAGGTCGCGCGTAAGCGCCCTCATCTCCAATGTGGCGTGCCGCGCTGGCGGCCCGCGTAAGCCACTGCGTAAGGTCGCTATTCCATCTCACGTAAGACGCGTTTCTTTTCGTGGCTCAGGTGAGTTTCGCCCAGGGGGGTGGAAGGATGAGGAGGAGGGGGGACGAGGATGAGAAGGCGGCGGAGGCGCTTGCAGGAGGACGGGCCACTGTTCCTCTGACAGTCGCAAGCAGATTCCCTCTCCTTCGTACGGCCATCGACAATTCCAAGCCAGACTCAGCATCCTGCAATGAATGCGGGCAACATGATCCACTGTACGTCATGTAAGGTGAGGCATCAGGAGGAGGAAGAGGAGGAGGAGGAGAGCACCGGTGTATTAGGAGAGGATAGGAACGAGGAAGAGGAGGAGAAAGTTAAGTTGCCAGTTGCTCTCATCCGCACGGTATCCACTCTGCTTGTTGACAAGCGATGGCGGATTTTTTAGCGACATCTGCACATGTTTTTCAGATGGGGCGGTGTTTCCGAGCTAATTGTCTGATGAGTCTCGGGGCGAGCTTTGCAAGGCTGTCAGATCCGACCATGGTGCATTCCAGTGGTCTGCGTTGTGCGCACGGTGGATGTTTTGCGACACTACGCAGAGAGATTTTTGCAATTGGTATGGCGAGCAGCCCTTCAATTTCGAAAGAGCGTGTTCTGCCGCTGCTGGCAGAAAACCGAGGGGGTCACTAGGGGGTTCCAACCCTTCCCCCCGCCCCCCCTCTCGAAAACCGGTGGGGGGGTCACTGGGGGTTCCAACCCCCCCCCCGGTCCATCATGAAAAGGCGGGGGGTCCCTACAGGTTCGAACCCCCCCTGGGGTACTCTGGCGGGCACAGTGGGACGGTGGTGAGGATGGTGGTGGGGACAGTGGGACAGTGGTGGGGACAGTGGGGACAGTGGGACCGTGGTGGGGACAGTGGTGGGGACAGTGGGGACAGCGCGACAGTGGTGGGGACACTGGTGGGGACAGAGAGACAGTGGCGGGGACTGGGGACAGCCGGGACAGTAGTGGGGACAGTGGGGAGAGTGGGACCGTGGTGGGGACAGCGGTGGGGACAGTGGGGACGGTGCGACGGTGGTGGGGGCATTGGTGGGGACAGTGGGGACAGTGGTGGCAACAGTGGGGACAGTGGGACAGTGGTGGGGGTGGGGGCAATGGGATAGTGGTGGGGACAGTGGTGAGAGCGGTGGTGAGGACGGTGGTGGGGACAGTGGGGACAGTGGAACAGCGGTGAGGACGGTGGTGGTGGGGACAGTGGTGAGGGCGGTGGTGAGGACGGTGGTGGGACAATAGGACAGTGGTACAGTGGGGAGAGTGGTGGGGACAGTGGGGACAGTGGGACAGTGGTGGGGACAGTGGGACAGTGGGACAGCACAGTGGGACAGCGGTGGGGACTGGAGACAGTGGGACAGTGGTGGGGACAGTGGGGACAGTGGGGAGAATGGGACCGTGGTGTGGACTGTGGCGGGGACAGTGGGGACAGCGCGACAGTGGCGGGGGCACTAGTGGGGACAGTGGGGGTAGTGGTGTGAACAATGAGACAGTGGTGGGGGCAGTGGGACAGTGGTGGGGGGCGGTGGTGTGGTGGTGGGGACAGTGGTGAGGGCGGTGGTGAGAACGGCGGTGGGGACCTGGGAGTCGTTTGCTGGCAGTGATTGGAGGGGGGGGGGGTCGAACCGGTAGTGAACCCCCTCCGGTTTTCCGGGTGCGGGGGGGGGTTCGAGCTGGTAGTGACCCCCTCTGGTTTTCCGGAGGGAGGGGGGAGGGGAAGGGGGTTTTGCCGGAGGAGGGGGAGGGGGGGGAGGGGTTCGAGCAGGAGGGGTGGTGTGTTTTCGGAATGGGGGGGGAACCCCGGGCTCCGGAGGAAGGGGGGGGGGAATTTCCCACAGCAGAGCGGCGGTGGATCACGCTCTCTCTCTCTCTCTCATATTCTGTCACCATGCCACGATGCCCCCGAGCGCGTTCATGTCTGAACTGGGGCCTCGGCTCACGGTTCCCGAGCGGGCCTGCGGCCCGTGGGCAAGGCGCCCTCCCGACGCAGGCCGCGTGCTCTGTGCCCGCCTGGGCGACAAGTCCGGGCAGGTCCTGGCCACCGGAGGCGATGACAAGAGGGTCAACATCTGGAAGGCGCGCGTTTCGCCGCATCCAGCCGGTGCCTTACAGCTCTCTCTTTGCCAGCCCTCCTGGGCGCCTCTCCGGGTGAGACCCAGCCCCGCCCCTCGCGGAGCTTCTGGTATAGCCTTCACGGGCACCAGGTGCAGTCCGCCTAGAGCTTGCACCGGCCTCGTGGGTTCGGGGGCCTTGAGCAGATTCCCATCAGTCCTGCGCCTTGAGGAGCCTCCAGGGAGTCTCCAGGGGAGGGGGGGGAGGTTCCTGTCCCGCACCGTGGTCCAGGACTCAAGGCGTGCCATGCATGAACAGTGTGTCCTTTACACTTTCCCCCCTCGAGGACAGAGAAGAGGAAGGGGACGGTGAAGCGGCGGGGGGAGATGCAGGTGCTGGTGATTCGTCGGCTTGGATGCCTGTTGAGGGTCAGATGCTCTTTGCGACCTTCGGAAAAGCTTCGCTTGGAGAAGGTGCTCGAGTGGTTTTGCTGGGATGTCGTAGCAGCACATCACCAGCGCAAGCCCCCGCCAGGGATGGGCTGCGGCAGCTTACAGGGAACATACACGTCAGATCACGTGAAACGTGCGCGGCATACATTGGTACACATGTGAATATCAAAACATTTAGCATGTGCGCATCGTTTTTTGACCATGGGGAAGGTGAATTGGGGCACGGGTACCCGTGGAAGCTCACATTAGACGAACATGTAGATTCTGCGGCACCTCTCTCGATCCTAACGAGATCTTCGTTTTTTGTCGCCCTACGCCTTCTCTTCCCCACCCGCCTCAACAGTAAGACATGTTGTCATGGGAATAGTGTGGGAGCAGAAATGTCCAGCAATTCTGGATTTTCCAGAGGAGTAGCCTGGGTTGCCAACGGGGTGAGAGGAGAAGGCGGGCGACAATGATGATGAGGGCGCGAGGAGGAGAAGGAGGACTTGACTGACGCACGCACATACACACACACACACTTTCTCTCTCTCTCTCTCTCTGTCTCTCTCTTTCTCTCTTTTTTCACTCACTCTCTCTCTCCCTCTACCTTCACCAAGCAGTGCTTGCACTTAGGGGTTCTTGCTTCTCTTCTGAGGAACTGGGCCTGACGGTCGGTTTGGCGGCTATGTGGCCGCCGTCGCCGCCTCGGCACCGCCCGTCATCAGGGCATGACGGTCGGTCCGGCGGCGATGTGGCCACCTCGTCGCCGCCCGTCGTTGTTTGTCGGTCTGGCGGCTACATTGTCGCCGTCGCCGCCCCGTTGCCGCTTGTCGCCGCCGTCAGATTGAACGGCATAGATTGGTGTGCGTTGCTTTTTATTGTTTGGCATCGGTGGGCATTGATTTGTCTTGCTTTGTATTGCTTTGCATTGTTGTACATGTCTATGCATTGTGTTGCATTGCTTTGCCGTGCGTTGCCTTGCTTGGCATTGTTTTGCGTTACCTTGCTTTGCATTGTTTTGCGTTGCGTTGCATTGCCTTGCTGTGTGTTGCTTTGCGTTGCTTTGCGCCTGCGTGCCATGGTTTTGCATTGCATTGCTTGCATAACGTAGATTGCACCACATATGTTGCACGACATAGATGGCACCACATATATTGCACTGCGTAGTTTGCACCACGTCGAGAGAACCGCATTGAGTGCACCACGTAAATTGCATAACCTAGCATTTACCACATATCGCACCACGTCGAGTGTACCACATTGATTCACAACGTAGATTGCACCACCTAGGTCGTAGCGCATATATTGGTCCGCAAAGATTTCTCAACATAGAAAGCACACCATATATTGGACCGCATAGGTTACACCACATCGATGTTCCGCATAGATGGACAACACATTCTGCCAGAAACATACTGTCATGGGTCCACGCTTGCCACCATATATGTCGATATGAGCATGTGTATATGCATATATATATACACATCTATATATGCACAATAGCTATGCCTTCAATTCTTATCATATCTATGTGCACATAGAATGACCTTCGGCCCATCCCCTCACCGTGCCTGAGTTGTGGGTCAAAGTCCTCAGAGATGCTTCTTTGGATCTCTTGTGAGCCTCTGGAAGGCCTCGTGGGGCGGTCTTGGGGGCTTATTGGGCTGATTGTAGGCCTGTTGGCCCTATTTCGCGCCTCGTGGATACAGCATGATGTATAGTTTTCTCCGCATTTCCCCGAAATGTTCGACTGAAGCGCTCTGTGCGTCTCTCTCTGTCTCTTCCTCTCGCTCTCGCACCTTCCGCTCTCTATGTCTCTCTCCTCCTGTACCTCTTACACTTCCCATCCTTCTCTCTCTCGTTCTAATTTCCTGACTGCACCTATCATCGTCCGTCACATCCTCTGACAGGTGTCCAAGCCCAATGCCATGATGAGCCTGACAGGGCACAGCACCCCCGTAGAAAGCGTCGTCTTCGACAAGCAGGAGGAAGTGTTGGTAGTAGGTTGCACTGCCGGCTCGATGCAGGCTTGGCAGGGGAAGGGAGATTGCAGAAGAGTGGGTGGGAACAGAGCGAAGGTCCAACCAGGAACATCCGCACAAGCACCATACCTGTTTCTGCCCTGTCACACGTTGGTGTGGTTTTGGTACCCCCATAGCATGGCGCCGTCGATTCAGCAGTCCAGTTCCCAGCCTCTGCTCGACTTGCCACATGTTGGGTATAAAGTTGATGCCAATCTGTGTTCACCCTGATGGGTTCTGGACTCCTCCTGCTCCTCCAGTTTCTCCGTGTCTTGTTCCGTGATGCGGCGTTGCCGAGTCATCGTTGACACCTCGTTTTCTTTTTGGAGTGTTGTAAATTCCCGCGTAAGCAGGTGGTCGTCGTCTCAGGGATAGCCCTGCACCGGCCTACGAGATTGGGAGGACGAAGACGACGAGGACACGAGCACAGAGGGGGAACGAACGAAGAGGCGACAGGGGAGAGGAACAGAACATTATGGCACGTGTGTTCCCTCATGCCATGAGCATCGGCGTCACCCAAACATACTTATCATACATGTGCGTCGCCCCCCCCCAGGGGCGACGCGCGCACCCAGAAATCTTATAGTATATGCGTTATGGCTGGCGCTTTCTGGTCACGCTGCACGGGAAACGATGTGCTACAAGATGGGTGTACTATATGTTCGGGTCGGACGCGCGCCTCCAATGTGGACATGTTGTGCTATAAGGTCTCTGCGCGTGCCGTGAGCAGGGAATGTCAAGCATCTGTTCATGCACACCCCACCCGCCAGAAGGCCCCCGTGGTGGACGACCAGGGAGGGCAACTGCAGCGGGGGGTAGATGAGGGAACGACACCCGGGGACCTGGACGAGCCCAGAGCCGGGGCAGGGAGGACAGCTTGCGACAGGGCACACCAGCCGCGATGAGGGGAGGAGGCCGAAGACTGGCGACATCCCGAGGGACGAGCAGGCGAGGACGAGCAGGCAGAGGACCGACGCACGACGGCGGAAGAGGGGCCGACGACACCACCCAGAAAGCAGGCGGGCGAAGGAGCTGAGCCCGACATCCAGGATTCCGCATTACCAGAAGTCACACATCAGGACTTTTTGCATCGGCTTCTTGGGGCCGAGTCGCGGGCGGGCTACGCTGGGGCACAGGCGAAGCTAATCGCGGCACAGGGGGAGATGGGGGAGACTGGAGGACAGGAGGAGAGGCTGCGCGTAGCAGGAGGGTTCTCAGAACATGATGAAGTTACTCGGAATGTGCTGGAGCAGGCTCGTCGAACTGGAAGTGCAGTCGGTGGGAGCCACGCCCAGTTACGAATGAGTCGCGCGAAGTACAGCAAGGGCACAGCGACAAGTCCATAGGGACCCAAAGCGCGAGCCAGGGATGCAGACTAACACTGACAAACTGCCAACTGAGGGTGACCCCAGGGAATACACAGGCGCCCAGGGACTCGTCAATGTGACGCACGTGTCAAGGGTCAAGCCACCAGGTGGCACTGCGCAGAGTGCGGACCACGGAGGAAGTTACAGTACAAAAGGAGTGCAATGCGACCTCCAGGTCTCGGATTGACCGTCGTTGGCCCCGCATCGCACATCAACGAACCCTGTCGGGCTGACTACTTGAAGGCAGGCAAGAGGGGAGGGAGGGAGGGAGGATACGACACAGCTGGGGACTGGGCTCCTGAGGGTCCGCGGCCCACGTTAGTCTGGCCGCTGACGCCCACGAGGCACGAACCCCGCCCTGTGTCGCGCTATGCGCGAGCCGCTACCTTTCGCCACGATGACGGCGATGCGATGGAGCATCTCCCGCCGCACCTTGGCCGCCGGCTCTCTGACCGCGCTTTGGTGCGGTCCAGGCGCTACTGCTCCAGAGCAGCAGGGACACCCATTTAGGGACAAGAGTTGTGATCCCGTCAAGCGCGATCAGTCGTTTGCAACGTGCACCAAGGTCATAATTCCACATGCCGAGCAGCAAGAGAGCATTAATTCTTCTGCCCACGCATATTCCCCTTCACCTTTCCAATCTACACCTCGGTTACACTCGTGATCCCAACGCCCAGCGCTCCTCTCATCCACTTCCTTCAGCGTAGGTTTGCCCTGTCTGGTCGCGTCTCCCACCTCGTCTCGCCCGCTGAACGTGTCTCCCTGCGCTCCCTGCTGATAGCGTTTGCGGCGAGGTTTGGAATTTGGAATACCGTAAGATGGCTGGCACTCTGCCAGGTGCCAGCTCTTGTCTCCCGTTTCGGATTTGCGGCAGGAGGGAAGGCTCCCATTCCTTCCACCCGCCAGACGCCATCCCTCCCCTCGAGGAGGGGATCGGCTACAGACTTGATTCACCTCGTAATTGATGTTCCGTCGAACCTGCTCAAATTACGTAGAATGTCTGGTCGATCTACGGAGTATTCGACGCATTTCTCTCGTCGAATCGACCACGGATCCTTAGTTCCTGGGTAAATCAAGTCTGCCGTCGATCCCCCCTCCACTTTCCCTCCCACTGTCCCTCCCACCTTGCCTCCCTTCCTCCTCGCGCGCACACGTTGGCACGCCCGCGCCGTGCGCGCGCGCGTGCGCGCGCGTGGGCCCGCGCACACGCTGCTTGCTGTGGATTCGCGCCGTTATCGTTTGCCGTTACCGCCGTTGATATTACGTTGACGCGACGGTCCGCACTGGAGCGATAACACGGCGCGCGTCAAGGGAAACACGTGCGGCATTGACGGGCCCACACGTTCTTCGTGTCATCGTGAGGGCTTGCTAGGAAGGATTAGCATGTGAGGGCTTTCATGGTGGAGCGTTACAAGTGTCCAGTTGTATCTCGGGTGACTACCAGCAACCATATCGCATGACCTACCGATGCATGCGCAGTATACCGAGACAGTGGCCAGCACCCTCACGAAGAGGTCATCGCACTTCTTGCTCGGCAATGGAGTTCCATCCGTACGGCGAGTTTTTTGCGTCTGGCGGGAGGGGAGTGTCTATGTGAGGAGCGTGTTGTGGAGCCTGGGACTAGAGGTGAACTCTCGACCTGGGGATAGCACGGTGCAGGGGAGGAGGATGGCCGTTGCGATATTCTCACAGCTGATGGAACGAACGCCTAGCCGTTCAAGGCGTGTGCCTCCGAGCACGTTCGTCTTCTGGCAAGGGGGGGGCACACAATATGCTGAGCTTCCCGCTCCTCCTCGTCATGATCATCGGCATCATGACCACCCTCGTTCTCATGACAGGAGTTGTTTCCCTCATCCTGCTCATCATTAACCTTGACAATATCGTCCTTCCTTCCCTCATCGCCATGAGTTATCTCTCCCTTCCCGCATCCCGTCTCGTGCAAGCTTTTCGTTTGCTACCTTCTCCAGCTTCCCTCCTCATCCTCAACTTCCTCCCTTCTTCTCCTCGCCCTCTGCCTCCTTATAGGGCCGCTCGGGGAAGTCATGCACACTGAGGGAGGGGGGTATGAGGAGGGCAGGAGGCTGGAGGGAGGGAGAGAGGAGAGAGAGGGGCAGCAGGATGGAGCGGGGCGGGAGGAGGGAAGGGGGAGACGGATTACTGGCGAGTGAAAGTGAGAGCGCAGGAGATGGTTACGGATGGAGACGGATTGAGGGGGCGACGAGTCGGAGGCGGAGGCGGAGATCGAGGCGGAAGGCGAGGGCGAGAAAGAGGGATAATGGGGGGAGTAGAGGTTTTGGGAAGGGAGCGGAGGAGAGGGAAGCAAGCAGGGAGGAGAGGGAAGACGTGGTATGCGTTGGGAGAGCGGAGGAGAGGGGATGAAAGGGGGGAGCGGGAAGAGGCAGGATGAGTGGGAAAATGAAGAGGCGGAGGAGAAGGAGGAGGAGGAGGAGGGGGAGGAGGAACACGTGGCAGGAACGACAGGCAGATGACAAGCAGTGGCAGGGCCAGGGCCAGTGGGCTGACGAGGTAGTGGAGCAGTAAGACGGCGAGGAGGAAGACGAGGAGAAAGAGCAGGAGTTTGAGTTTGAGGAGGATGAGCAGCAGCAGGCGTTCGGGGCGACTAGAACCTCCCACCGTGACGCCTTTTTCCACGGCCGAACGTGTTCGTGGACGTGGCGTGTTTCAGAGGGGGATGAGTGTGGGGGTGTTTTGCATGTGGCGGCCTGCTTGATATTGTTTGGTTGCGAGGGGGATGGGGCAAAGCAGTGGTCGGCATGCTCTCTTGCTCAGCGTCGAGCAGACGTTGCGTGGAGCGGAGGCTCGGCAGATACCAACCTCAAGATCTGGGACCTGCGCAGAAAGTCGTGCATTCAGACCTACAAAGGCCACACTGGCGGGATCACCTCCATCAGGTTCTGGTCGCGCTGCGGGATGAGGAGAAGGAGGCGGAGAAGGAAGAGGAGGACGAGGCCGAGAGGGATGAGGCCGTGGAGGAGGGGGAGGGAGGTGGAGGTGGAACAGGGGGCCCACGACTTTTCGATTGGCGCGTGTCGTATGATGCCGCACTGCTGCTGCTGCTGCCGAGGAAGAGGGGAGGAGGAAGAGCCGGCAGGCTCGGGAGGGCGCCCCGGCCAGGGGCAAGGTCACGGAGGCCATGCGAGCTTCTGGCCAGGCCTTGCACGAAACCGTGGCCGCCGGCCTCGGGCTCCAACAGGCTGGGGCCGTGCTCCGCTGGACGGCGCAGGGCGTGCCAGACCACCCCTTTCGCGCGCAGGCCGTGGACTTGCGAGCGGTGCAGATCTTCGACCTCGTCCTCAGGGGCCTCTGGGGGCCGCCGGCTTGACGAGGCCCAAACGGACCGCTGAGGGACGGCGGCCTCGCAGCAGGCGTGGCCGATCCACGGCGGGAAACCGCGCACGTGGCAGCGTGGTGCGCTGCTGCCTCAAAGGTCGCGCTCGCCATCGGCGTGGGTAGCGCAGAAGAGCTCCTCGCGATGCAGGCCACGAGCACGTGGGACTTTGCCAGCCCCGTGGCAGCGTACAACGCAAAACACGGCAACGCAACCCACTACCTGCAGGTCTCGCTGGCGCAAGGGGGAACGGAGCAAGCAAAAGGATTCGGTGAGGCCCGTCGTGGACGTCCTTGACGCGAGGGCGAAGGCCAGTCTCGCCGAACGCACGTTCGGTCGCAACCATTCCTGCGGAGGCCCGGGCGCCGGGGCCTTCACGCTGCTGCCCACACGGCCACAGAACAGGATGGCGGCCGACCTCTTGCGGCTTTTTCTTCAGAGGCGCCTCCACATGGCGGGGCAGCGACTACATGAGGGTCGCGCAGTGCAGACGCACTGTCAGAAAACGTCCCGCGACGGGGCTGCTTGCGGAGCAATGAACCCGACCAGCACCGCGCCATCATGTGCGAAACGGGGCCCGCCCGCACCGCGCGGTACGACAGGATCCGTGACTTGCTGGCGCGCTAGCTGGCCAAGAATGTCGCTGGTCTGGTGCGCACCGAGCAGACGGTGCCACTGCGCTCCGACGGCGCTGGGGCCCAGCGACGGGCCAGGACCGCCTGGGGTGAGCAGCGCTAGACGTCAGATGGTTCGGTCAAGGGTGCGTGGCACGTCATTGGCGTGGTGGCCACGAGCTTCGATTCTAGCGAGCCGCGCGAGGAGCGGGCCAGAGCGCCCCACGCTGGCCTGGCGGCCTAGAATCACGCCGCGCACAACAAGCAGCTGCGATACCCGCCTGGGTCAGCCACGCCCCTGTTAACACCGCTTGCGGTGGAGAGGATGCTGGATTGGGCAGCCCGCCAGGCAATTGGCCGTGGACAGGTTGGACCGCCAATGCGGCGAGGCCAGCGCCAGCGCCGACGCCGCGGCGTTTTGGCAGGAATCTTCGGCTACCTTGCAGACAGCGGTGGCCGAGCAGATCCTCGCCCACCAGCCGGCGGCTGTAGGCGGCGGGCGTTGACAGCGACGGCGAGGCAACGCCTAGTGGGAGGCAGCGGGCGCGGAGGAGCTGGAAGAGGCCAACCCTGGGGCAGGAAACGCCGAGGAGGAGGAGGAAAACGAGGAGGAGGAGAACGAGGAGGAGGAGGAGAAAAACGAGGAGGAGGAGGAGGAGGAGGAGGAGGAGGAGGAGGAGGAGGAGGAGCAGTGCACACCCGGGATTCATCAACGATGATGGGACAAGGCCTCCCTCCAAGCTCCCTCTCCGCAGGCCCTTGCGAAAGGAATCTCTTCCACAGACAAACGCACCGTTTGGGAGACAACCGCCTGAATATTGAAGCGCGTCTAACCGCACGGATCACCCTGACTGCTGCGTCTAGACGGTCTTTAGTCGCCGTTCCTGGGGCTGCAGCGCCGCGAATCAACGTGACAGCTGCGATCTGACATGTTGAATCGCTATAAAAAAAACAGTTGTTTGATATGTTACCCATGGGACGGCGTGAAACTCTCGCAAAAGTGTTCTTCACGCTTCGCGTGTCCCCGCCAGCACACTCTGCCGCTTGTTCATTTCGGTTCACACTGCGGCGCCTATGTGCGTTCGCTTGTGACTTTAATTCATTTTGTTCTGTGCATGTGCAACTGCGCACTTGTTGTGCAGAGGCGAACCGGCTTGCCAACGTGACGGCAGTGTTCGCACATTCGCATCGTGCCGCATGCCCCGGACTTTGCCTCTCGCCGCCAGACCGTTGTCGCGCGGCCGCGACCGAAAACTCCCCGCCAGCTCTTCTTCACTCTTGCGCCGACACGATGTTTTTGCATATGTGTCGCCTACTTCACGGATGTCGTCTGGGTGTGCTTGTCGGTATAGTTCGTATCTGACGGTGTCTGCCTGATTCACACCGAGCGATCGACCTCTGCGTGTTTATGGTCGCGCCGCCGCGCCATTTTGGCTGCGCTTATTTTCTGGTCGCCACCGGGATTTCCAACGCCACCAGGCTTGGGAGGGCCGGTTCTGGTTTTTCTTCTGAGTGGTTGCCCGCTCGCTCGCTTCGTTTGCCTTTTTTTCCTTGTTGCCTGGTCGCGGCCCGACTGGTGTTCGGACGGCTTTCGACCCGCCTCGCGAGCCTGTTGACCAAAAAGTATCTCCACCAACCCATTCCGAAACCTTGCCCTTGAGAGCTGACGGAAAAGTGACGAGGATGCACATCTAGGGAAACAAAGCGAACAAGGGGGTGGTTTTGGACGGTCTCTTCGGGCCATCCCTGGGTGCCGCGTGGGGGCGAGGGAAAGAGGAGGAGGAGAAGGAGGAGGAGGACGAGGAGGACGAGGACGACGACGAGGGCGAAGAGGACGAGGAATACGAGGATGCGGATGAGGACGAGGACGAGGAGGACGATAACTAGGATGAGGACGACGCGGGCGAGGACCCATGGAACCAACTACAGGTATTATTTCGGCTGCTGCTGCTGTTGCTCTCTGGGAGTGTGGTCCCCCCATTGGAACCCTCTTGGTAACCCTGGAAAGTTTTTTGGGATCTTCCTGGAGGCCATCTATTGCAGGATGGGGGGTCCCCAACTCAACTCCCCCTTCAGGAACCGACACCGTTTTTTAGGGTTCTCTTGCAGCGCTTTTGGAACGGTCTTGGGGCCGTTTGGAGCATTTTGAGAGCCATCTTGGGCCAGACTGTTCTATCTCAGCCATCTTGGAGGTCATCTTGGGTTCTCTGAGACCGCTCGGGGGCCTCTTGGGGGCCTCTCGGGTGCCTCTTGGGGCCCTTTTGGGACCCCTTGGAGCCCTCTTGGGGCTCTCTTGGGAGCCCTGGAGCGCCTCTTCGAGCCATTTTCGAGGCTATCGATCGAAGGGGGGAAGGTCCCCGATCTGCGCCCACCCCTCGGGGGTCACGATTCTCGTGAGGGGTTTTAAGATCAGGCCTCCCCAGAGGCCGACCTTGGATGCTCCAGCGGATCGCGGTCCCTCCCGTCCAGGTCCAACAGAGGGGTAGGGGGAGGGGTTACCCCCCCCCCGAAAGGGAAGAATGGTTTTTGGAAGAGGCAAACGAGTCATCGTTAGACCACCTGCGCCCAGAGGGCTGTCGGGATCAGACGAATGTGCGCGGCGCTAAGGCGAGAGCCACATGTTGAGACGGAGCCCCCCCTGAATCCTTGAAGTTGTTCGTGCAATTCGTTTTGAACCAATGTGTGTGGCGCTAAGAAAAAACGCATGTTGGAAACCGCCCGCCCCCAATCCGCGAAATTCTTGAATTGCTTTTTACGGGTGCGCGCGATGCTATGACGATATCAACGTATTCAAAACGACTCGCTTTCACTCGACGATAATTTTGCAACTTGTTAAGACGGGTGTGCGCGGCGCTAAGGCGAGAGCAGCCGTTTGAGAACGTCCCGCATTTTGGAAACGACCCGCCCTCGATCTGCGAAGCGGTTGCAAATTCTTACGTTTCAGGATCGCTAGGGGTAAGGAAGTCTCAGGCGAAACGCCCGGCCCGCCCTTCGACTGGCCTCGGGGAGCGACAGGGAGGACGGGAACTACACATGAGGAAAAGGCGGGGGGACGAGGAGAACGCAAAGGGCGAGGAGGCGCCTGCAGAATCTGAGGCGGAGGCGGTGGATGAGGAGGAGGAAGGTGAGGAGGAGGAGGAGGAGGAGGAGGAAGCAGACTCAGGCGCCTAGTCGGGGCATCCCGACTCTTTGGGAGCACGATGCGCCGTGAATTTTCACTACCTTCCCCGCGCTGTTCAAAGTCTTCCGGCAGTCCAGCCTTCAGTTTTGCACAAGGTGCGAGATCAGTTCTCCGCTTGCAAGGCGTAGGACTGCCCCAGCATTGCCGTACATAGCAGTAGCATGGCCCTTGGGCAAGGATGAAGATCTTGCCCCAGGGTTCGGGCGAATGGTCCCGACGAGAGACAACTTATGGTGGTGGTGCTCTTAGGCCCTTCTCCGTGGGAGGAACCGGGGAGTGGGATTCCTGCGTGCGCGGCGCATTCGAGATTGTCCCGAACTGTGGCTGTAGGGCTATAGGGCCATAGGGCTATAGGTCTATAGGGCTATAGGGCTATTACTATCACATATGACTGTGTTCATGCGCCCGGATGATCACTTAATGTATCATGCATTCGCCCGGGATCTCGAAGCAGATCGGTCGGGATGCGGCGGCGCCAGGGCGAACAATGAGCATCGCAATTTGGCGATTCGCAGCGCGACTCCTAGTGCTTGCAACCAGCCAGCCACGCCGATTAAAAAAAAGAGGAGGAGGAGGAAGAGGAGAAGGCAGAGGGACGGCGGCGTCAACAGAGGCCAAGGGGGAGGAGGCGGAGGAGGAGGAGGAGGAGGTGGAGGAGGAGGAGGAAGAGGAAGAGGAGGAAGAAGGGAGGAAACAGAAGGTGAGGCGGCTGAGGGCGAGGTGGCGCAGGCCAGGCCCGGGCGGGGAGCGCCGAAGAGGAGGAGGAGTCGGCGATTACAATCGGTGCGGTTACGCCGCGGTGCGGTTTGCGAGTTGCTTTGCGGCTGCCTTTCCGGGGCCTTTGTGAGAGACAGTGTCATAACAGTCGCCGTTTCGAACGACACTGTCATCCTTGATGTGTGCTCCACCGTACTAAAAATAGCGACAGCGTCATGTGATTCGGTCGCATTGCGTGACAGTGTCATTCGTTTCCCGGGCGCGGGAGGGGCAGACATGACGGTAGGCGAACCGCACCCTTCGCAAACCGCACCCGTTGCAGTCGCCGAAGGGAGAGGAGGAGGAGGAGGAGGAGGAGGAGGAGGAGGAGGAGGAGGAGGGCAATGAGGAACCAGTGGAGGCCGAAAAGGAGGAGAAGGCGGAGGAGGAGGCGGAGAAAACGGCGGCGCCGCTACTGCAAAACGAGAGCGATGTGGGTGACGGGCCCGGCGCGCGTGGGCGCAGCATGGTGTGCGCGGGCGCCGACCGCTTGCCCTGGGGGCCCCGTCGGACTTGGGACCCCTTGGGCCGCGGAGGGGAGGATGAGGAAGAGGAGGAGGAAAAGGAGGAGGAAGAGGAGGAGGCTGAACATGAGCAGGAACAACAACAGGAGAAAGTGTTTGCACACAGCGTTACGACTGGTTGAGCGGGCGCACTTGTTCAGCAGTGGCGAGGACTTTCAGCCGTTATCACGAAAGTGTCTGGCGAAGTATTATCCAGACGTTTCGCCTCTAGCTCAAGTGCCGTCTTGCCTTTTCAGAAAAAAAGGCCCCTGCCAGATTGTCATGGTAGCGGGGCCCGTGGTTCGCCTCACGGGTTCCAGAGCAAAGACGTCAGTTGCGGCCGCTGCGGCGGCCCCGGTGGACCCCAGCAGCACCGACCTGGCTTCG